AATTTCTTTTTTACTATGGATTTAATTTGTTGATATTCTAAAAATCTTTTCTTGTTGATCCCATATTGTGTAACTAGTCTGTCAAATGGAATTCTGTTCCTTCTAGTATATGTTCTAAATATTTGATTCCTTTACCACTCCAATCTGGAAAGTTTATCATATTATTGTTTTGTAATATGTCAGGGTTGTTGCAGATAGGTGTACGTTTGCATGAAGAAAAAAAAAAACCCGGAAACATTCCAATTAAATTACTGACGGAGAGCGACGGTGTTAATTCTACTATGAAATCACACTTAAGATGCGATTTGATACTGGTAAGTTAAACAGATGTTAATGCAAGTTAGTGTGAGTGGATAGGGAAAGAGTGTAGCGGATTCTTATCTGGTCTGAAGTTAATACAGCCACGGAGAGATGCTGGGGTCGTGGTAAAGCTGTCCATCCACGTAGAGCCGGTCCACAGTGTGGGAGCCCTTCTGGATGAAGCCGCGTCGGATTGGGAAGAGGACCCTGTGTCGTTCCAGGATCTCTTTTGGGAACTGGTCGTTCACGTTGAAGTCCGTTCCTTTTAATTCCCTGACGCGACTTTTCACCTGTTCCTTTTGTTTGAAGTGGCCGAATTTGGCAACAGTAGGACGTGGTCTCCCGGTCGCAGCCCGCATGGGGCCAATGCGATGCACCCTATCAAAGACGATGTTCTTCACCATGTCCTCCGGCAGCTTCAGGTGGGTTTTGATGAAGCTTTTTACTGTAGTCTCCGCGTCTTCTCTTGCGGCTTCTGAAATACCAAAAAATACAAGATTATCACGTATGTCACGAGTTTGTAGATCAATGTTTATTTTCTCTATTTAGCTGGGTAACATTTTCTGTGAGACATTTCACCGACTCCCTTAGCGTGGCATTTTCAGCAGCGAGCGTTTCCACCTGCTGCTGGCTGAACTCCAGGGATTCTCGCAAGGATTTAAATTCTCGGTGAAGAATCTCCACCAAGGACAGCCTTGCATCGAAACTGGACAATCGTTTGTCGATTGACTCCAGTATGTCGGCAATATCTTTGCCGTCTGGCGATGTTGTGCCGAGGGAATCTGCCGGGCGAAGTCTTTTCGACGACGGCGTCTCAGATTTGGCTGGGGAAGCACTCTGGGCCTTCTTTATTATGAAATCCTGGAAGCACTGATCGATGTAATCTTGGAGAGCCTCTAAACTCTCCCTGTTGTTCTCCAGGGTGTTGGAGATGATTTAGACAAATGTTGTTAAGTGTATTTGGTAATACTGAAGCTTAAAGGAATTTGTTCAATTCTAAACTACCATTCGCTTTAATTTTCCGCCAAAATCTCCGGCGTCTGACATCAGTTACAACATGAGTCGCTTACCTTGTCCGTCACTTCCGTCACTTACCTCAGCAAACCTCTCACTTAGAATCAGCTTTGTCTTTCTCGGCTTTCTCACCAGCACTCCTGGTAAGAAAGCCGTTATAGATTACAGAGTTAAAAACTCATTATAGAGTTAAAATTATGCAGAAGTCCTGGCTCAGATGTTAGTTTCATGCTGCAAATGTTTTGTTGTGACTGTAAATTGTTATTGACCTTGTCAACGTGTTTAACTTACTGTTGGGTAACATGTGATTGTAGTTATGTATTAAAATGTTTAGAGATGATGATGAGATGAGATAGCCTTTATTTGTCAGTTGCAGGTCTTTTGCCCACAACCGAGATGACAGACCTTGCCGACCGTACATACAATACACAAACATCACATTGGGGAGACAGGTCAGGCTAGGTAGCGAGGAAAAAAACATCGAAATGTGTAACACAGAAGGATAATACA